AAAAAAAAAAACCCTTTGGTTTTTTTGGGGGGGGGGGGGGGGGGGGGGGATAAGTAGAGGGGGTTGGTGTATACACGGTATAAAAATGGATGAATTATTGGTGGGGACAATTAAAAGAATTGTCTAAAGTTGATGAACACAAGATTGGGAGCTGAGCCTGCTGAGGTATTGAAGGGAGACACACCATGTGTAAATTACAAATTGCAAGCAAAAAAAAAAAGCAAGTTTTTGTGACCTTGTTCCATCATATATTTTATTTTTTGATCGTTTGGATCAGTTTGTGCGTCTATCTACTATATTTTTATTAAATATTTATGAAATTTAAATCGATTATGTTAATTGTTGAACTTGATTTTGTTTGGACGATTTGATCTTTCAACCAATTCAACAAGGACATTTATCTATGTAAAGAAATATAAAAAGACGAGTTAAGTTTGTGTCCTCTATTTTAATTAATACTATTATCTTTCACCAAACACACAAGTATTATGTAATTTCTTGTTAGTAAATCTTAAACAATGAAAAATATCACCTAATGTGTTGTGTTTGGATTAATAACATTTTTAATCTTCAAGTTATTGATAAATTCTGATTTTAATTTCTATGAAATTTGATTAAGCAATTTTGAAGCTTCATTTAATTGGATTGTACATTTTTTTATCCCCTTTATGACAATTCATTAGGGGAAAACTACTTAATAGGTAATATATGAATTTGACTAAACACAATAATTTTGATCTAACTTTTATATATATAACCGAATTCATTAACTTCAACTCTTTTGATTCAACATCTTATTTTTGTTCATAATTATATATACTCCCTTTGTCCCGTGACATTCGAGAGTCAAACAGTTTAACTTTGATCAGAAATTTGCGCATGAAATCTTTAATTTTTTTGAAATGAAATTTATATATTTGTAAATTATGTAAAAAGTATTACAAGTCACAATAGTTGATAATTCAAAATAAGTAAAAGATATATAAAAAAATATACGGTAAAAATAGATTGACTTATTTGAATTTCAAAATTTAAAAAGTGTCACATAAATTGAAACTGATAGAATATTTATTTATTAGTTGGCCACAAGTCACAACTTGCAACTTTTGTACAACACCACAAAAAAACAACACATGATTTCATTTTTTATTTTTTATGGTTTTTTCTTTTGTTGTTGAGTCAATGGTGGGGGAATCTAAAATAAAATTATATTCCTGCACTGCATGTACTTGAATGCTTCCATTACAACTTTTCAGTTTCTTTGCTAAAATGTGGTCCATTCATTTTAATTTATTAAGATCATTATTATTAAATTATTGGTAAAGTTTAGCTTTTCTGAGTTATCACTTATCACTATGAATTGTGGCCCCTCTTCCCTAATGAATGGGGTATTACGTCATTCCTTGGCATATTCTTTGAAGCTTCCGCTCTGTTGGATGTGTGAACAAAGTCATGTATTAAAAGTTGATAAGAATATTTTTTATATAAAAAATAAAATAATAATTTTAATAATATGAGGTCTTTTAAAAAAAGTCGTGTTAATATAATTTGGCGGTTATTAGTATATATGTATTAATAGTTTACTAAGTCGAGTATGAAAATTGCGAAGTGAATTGATTAGAGCATGACAAGATTTTCCATACCCAGGGCTCGAACTCGAGACCTCTGATTAAGGGTGAATCACTCTCACTAGTACACCACAACCCGTGTTGATGAGCACAGGGTTAAGCTCAAGCCTCATTTAGTTACACTTAAATAGAGATTTGAACCTCTAACTATTATTGAATTTATTTTATTAAGATTTGATCACTTTTGGTGAGTTGAGTAAGTTAGAATTATTTAGCTTTTGAATAAAGTTTTAATATCATTAAAAGAAAGCTTGTAAAGATGGTTCTTTTTATTGTTTTGTCCATATTATAACTGGTCATCATTGTACAATCACTATTCTCAATCGTGGCTCTGAGCCACATCGTTGAACAAGCACCATCACAAAATTATTGTGAAATCATCTTTATCATCACAATTACCACTAAATCGTTGCTCACTGGCCAATCATTACAATTAATTACCAGTAGCCATCATCGAACAAAAATCATAACCACCATCACGATCATTACCACCATCTACCACACCAACCGCCTTCATTTTCACAATATCATTATTGACGATCACTACCATCATTGGTCAACTACGACCAACCATCACAATTACCAATTACTATCACCAACTATACCCCTCCCAATTTCCATCATCACCAATCACTATCACCAATCAACACCACTAACAATCGCTCATTACAACCATTACTACTATCATTATCATCATTTGTCAATCACATTATCACCACCATCAACTGCTCTCATCAAAATCACCAGCATCATCACAACCGCTGCCACGACCCACCATCAACCCCCACCACTCCTACCATACAAACAATCACTCCCAAATATAACCATCCAAACAGTTACTAAAATCACCTATTCCTTCATTATTAGAATATAAAAAGACAATTTGCACAATAAAATAGCACTAACTTTTCTTTAATAAAATTACAAATACACCACTACAAGTTTGCAATAAAGTCAAGAATATAAACCACCACAAAAATCCCCCTAATGGACTTGTCTTTTGTCCATTTTGCCCCCACTTAAGTTG